ATTCATACATTTCTGTTGGCAATACAGATTGGAACCACATATCTGGAGAAATTTTAAGAATTATTAAATTTTAATAATTAAGATTAAAATTCTTAAATGTTAATAATTAAAATTTAATAATTAAAAACCAAGATTTTAATTATTCCTAAATGCAGAGTGGTATCCTAGATTGAATCCTGGAACAGAATACTAAAAATTTCAGTGGAAAAACTGGTGAATTCGAATAAAGTCTGTAGTTTAGTTAATAGTGTTATACCAAAGTTAATTTCTTAGTTTTGACAAATGAACCATGGTTATGTAAGACGTCAAAATTAGTAAAGGTTGGGTGAAGGAAATATGAGAACTCCGGATGATCTCTGCAGTTTTTCTGTAACTCAAAATCATCCTAAAATTTAAAAAATTAGACATTTATGTTATTTAACCCAATAAATTCTACTCTATAAGATATTAACTGTGGGAGATAATCGGATGAAAAATAATTTGGGATAAGTTATTCATTGCAGTGATATATGTGATAGCAAAAGAGAAGAGAAATGGAAAGAAAAGAAAAAAAGGGAAAAAAATCCACATGCTCAACACTACGGGCCGTGGAAACCCACCTTCATCCATGCATGGAGTGATTATGAGAGCCATTCTAGATGATGGGGCACAGCAGTGAACAAAAGAAAAATCTGCGATGTAAGAAGCTTAATTCCTGGTTAGGCGCAGTGGCTCATGCCTAGCCAGTACTTTGGGAGGCCAGGGCAGGTGGATCACTTGATGTCAGGAGTTTGAAACGAGCCTGGCCAACATTCTTTCTGCCCTATTAATAAGAAACATAATTGTATGAAAAACAATAAACCCTTGGCTCCTTTCAGGAAATGTCTGACCAGGTACACAAAGGTAAGTTGGAAACAGCAACTCCTCAGGGACCACAACTCAAGCCTGTAGTGGGAGTTACTACATTAAATAGTGTTGTTTTTAAATATCCATAAATTTAAAGCTATTCACTTATTCATTCAAGAAGTATGTTGAATGGCTAGTATATGCCAACACTGTTAAAATCTTTAAGATGAAGAATTTTGCCTAAATGCACCTGAGTATAATGTTGAACATTGCAGAATTATAAGTAATGATAGAAATCTAACATGACCGACTCTGTCTTGCTTTTAACCTCAAAGGCTATTGTTTTGTTTTTCTTTTCCTCTTCCTCCCCTCCCCTCTCTTCCCTCCTTCCCTCCCTCCCTCCCTCTCTGTCCTTCCTTCCTCTTTCCCTTCCCTTCCCCTTCCTTCCTTCCTTTCTTCCTTCTTTCTTTCTTTTCCCTCTGTTTCTTTCTTTCTCTCCTTTCTTTCTTTCTCTCCTTTCTTTCTTTCCTTTTCTTCTTTCCTTCTGTTTTTACTCTGGCATGGAGGCCAAGATAATATGAAAGGAATTAATTTATAATTAAACTTTAAAGCAAGGAGAACCGACCCCCTTCCTTGCTGGAGAATGACGCTGTGTTCATAATACAAGATTAGAATTATGGTTGGGGCTTGAACTTTGCTAAAGAAAAAGCATGGTTAAACAATAACCTACCACTGCTTAGCTTGCTTTTTTATACATTGCTTTCTGCTCCAAAGTCACATGAGAAATCACAAGAGTTGTAACTTCCCCAACTACTCCTACAGATAACATCACTCCTGTGAAACCTAAAGAAGTGGTTTTTGAGATATTTTTCAGATTTAGCATTTCAACAAAGAGCTGCCACCTGCTTCTGAAAATACCCTTTCCCCCTTTCCTAGGAAAAGACTTAGCTTGAACTTTGCTAAAGAAAAAGCATGGGAGGTAATTAGGTCATGAGGGCAGGCTCTCACGAATGGTATCAGTGACCTTATCAAAGAGACCCCAGAGAGCTAGCTCACTTGCCCCTTCTACCATATGTGGTTACAATGAGAAGAGGTAATCTATTAACCAGGAAGAAGGATGAATCTGCTGGTGCCTTGATCTTGGGCTTCCAAGCTTCCAGAACTGTGAGAAATAAATTTCTATTGTTTATAATCCACCAAACTAGTGGTATTTCGTTTAGCATCTCAAACAGACTAAGACAAGGAGCTGTTCTTTCTTTCCGAGGAAAAGAATTACAGATCTGAAAATGTACCATACCTAGGCATCACTGCTGCCCATTACACACACATTTCATTTAAAAGCATATATGGGGCCGGGCGCGGCGGCTCACACCTATAATCCCAGCACTTTGGGAGGCCAAGGCGGGTGGATCATGAGGTCAAGAGATCGAAACCATCCTGGTCAACATGGTGAAACCCCATCTCTACTAAAAATATAAAAATTGGCTGGGCACGGTGGTGCATGCCTGTAGTACCAGCTACTCAGGAGGCTGAGGCAGGAGAATTGCTTAAACTCAGGAGGTGGAGGTTTCGGTGAGCTGAGATCGCGCCATTGCACCCCAGCCTGGTAACGAGAGCGAAACTCCGTCTCAAAACAAAACAAAACAAAAACAAAAACATATATGACAACACTGTAATTAGACTGTCTTTGGCCTTGGATTAGATACAAGTTATAAATGAGAACTAAAAGTTAAAACCCATCTAATCACCCTCCTAACCTACCATCCTAGCTTCATTTCTAACCACACCTAATTCCTCGCCTGCTTTACCTGTTGCATTAATTTCTCATGCTTCCGCCTTTGAATTTGTTGCTTCCTCTGAAGCAAATTCTCTTTTCTTCACAAATTGACTCATGCTTCAAGTTACTAAGTTTGTCTGTGTAATCTTCCTTTTTCATTTATATACTATAGGTTTTTGCATTTGCTACAGTCTAGCATTTAATGGACTTTAATTATTTGAACCTAACACTTTCTCTTCAGCCCGTAGTGATCTCCTAAGTCTAACAAGGTGCTCAAACACAGTGCTTTCTGAATGTTTTTTACAGAATTAGATATAAAGATGAGTCAAAGCAAAAAAAGGAAACACAGATTCCACTATGACGGTTACTTCTAGTAGGGGAAGGACTTGTTTAATGTTGTGGGTCTTTATAATACAATGTTAAATTAAATGTGGCCTAAAGTTCTCCATACATAGCAAACTCTAGCCTATCTTAATATGTAAACACACTACAATCTAACTTGAGAGCATATTCTTGTAACAAGTAGCCATGTCTCAGCCAATCATATCAACTGAGATTTTAGCCAATTACAAGCTGCAACTGCTCAGACCATGACAAAATAAGTCAGATAAAGAGTTGTAACCAAGTTATTTCTGTATGTCACTTTCTTTTTCTGTCTATAAATACTGCCTATCCACTATTGCTGGGTGAAGCTCTCTGAACTGTTACTGGTTCAAGGTGCTATCCAATTCATGAACTGTTTCTTTGTTCAGATAAACTCTACTAATATTTAATTTGTCTAAAGTATTCATTTTAATAGATTGGTGTCGAAAGTAGGACCCAAAGTAGACCTCCAGGGACACAAAGGAGCACCTTTTGACCAAGTGAAGATACTCACCAGGGATCATGTGCACACTGATCTCTCACGGCAACTGGGATCATGGCAGGGTTCTCTCTTAAATTCAAGTTCTATGAATTTTTGTTTTGACCTCTCTGACTTTATTTGAGGAATTTTCCTGAACTGGGTCTGGGATCTGATTGGATCTAAGTAACTGGATTGGATCCAGTCAGAGGTCTGAGGTTGGTATCTTTTGAAAATGGGTTTCTCCAAATTTAAAAAGTCTAGGATTCTAGCTGGGCACAGTGGCTCACACCTGTAATCTCAGCATTTTGGGAGGCCAACATGTGCAGATCACCTGAGGACAGGAGTTTAAGACCAGCCTGGCCAACATGGTGAAACCCTATCTCTACTAAGGTGTGGTGGTGGGCGCCTGTAATCCCAGCTACTTGGGAGGCTAAGGCAGGAAAATCACTTGAACTTGGGAGGCAGAGATGGCAGTGGGCCAAGATCACACCACTGCACTCCAGCCTGAGTGACAGAGTGAAACTCCATCTCATAAACAAAACAACAACAACAAAAGTCTGGGATTCCAAGAATCTGGGACTCCACTTTTTGGTACACCAGCTAACTTTGTGCACAAAAATTATGCGCCCAGAACCTGTGTGTTTTTTTAAAAATGTCCCTTACCAGAACAACTTAGAATTATAGTTGTTACAATGGGGAAATTTTAACATACATAAAATTGTTTACTTGTGGGGACATTAAAAAAAGAATACAAAATGCCAAAAAGCAATGGGATATATTTTAAAATTGGTATGTAGAGGCATCTAAAATATTAAATAAAGCAAAGATTGCCTCTTTATAAGGTTCCTTACAGAAAGTGAATGAAAAAATCTTATATATCTTTTTCACAAATATAATTTAAAGCTTTACCCATGGGGGCAGGAAATCTTATTTTATTGGCCAGGGAAACAATTTTGGTTCAGATATTTTTAAATGAATGACTGAGTTTTATATTATTGTGCCTGGCAAATGGCTAAAAATTTTAAATAAAAGCTATAGAAGATCTGTGTCTGTTTATATGTTTATGGACAGATGTGTAGGTAAGATACACATATGCGATATTTTTATATCTCCTTATGATATTGCCAAATTAAACTGAAAAAAGATTTATTTCTTTGGCTTTTTAAAAAATAAGTCCTAATATAAATAAAGTATTCACTCAGAAAATTAAGAGCTCAAATCCTTTCAAGTTCACATTACTTGGGTGATCTTGGTAAATAAGAATATTGTTGATTTCATTAAAACAGTCATGTATTCAGAGTTTTAAGCATTAAGTATAATACAGACACATAAATTTTCCTACTTAGGTTCACTGGTAAAATAAACTTATGTTATCTCTGAATTACAAAATATGTCAGCAAGGAAATAACTTACATGATGACTAGCTGCTTACTGTCTCATCTTTATAAGCAATCTAAGCATAATTGTTAAAAATAAGTGAGTTAAATAGATGTAAGTAAACTTCCTATATAAAAGCGTCCTTCCAACACAATTCCTTGCGCTCTTTCTTTCCACCTCGGACCTGACAGAATGGCTCCAGCGAAGAAGGGTGGCGAGAAGAAAAAGGGCCGTTCTGCCATCAACGAGGTGGTGAACCGAGAATACACCATCAACATTCACAAGCGCATCCATGGAGTGGGCTTCAAGAAGCGAGCCCCTGGGGCACTCAAAGAGATTCAGAAATTTGCTATGAAGGAGATGGGAACTCCAGATGTGTGCATTGATACCAGGCTCAACAAAGCTGTCTGGGCCAAAGGAATAAGGAATGTCCCATACCGAATCCGTGTGCGGTTGTCCAGAAAACATAATGAGGATGAAGATTCACCAAATAAGCTCTATACTTTGGTTACCTATGTACCTGTTACCACTTTCAAAAATCTACAGTCAATGTGGATGAGAACTAATCGCTGATCGTCAAATACATCAAATAAACTTGAAAAATTGCCTTTATGTTTTGGTTCTTTTTAGTTACAACATAATGTGCTTGTATATCCTATCCTAATTATGGGATCATTTGGAGAGCTTTTCTCACACTGATGGCCTCTGCTGCCTTCTCCCCATCCCCTGGGGTTAGATTTGTGGACAGGGTCTAAGCAGATTTTTAAAGCTGATTTCGAAGTGTAACCTGGTTTTAGAACCACTGTTCTGGGTATTTGGGATACTGAAGGCATATTATTAATAATTTTACTTGTATGTTTTGTTAATGGTAAGATAAGCATTTTTCCAGAAACCAAGATGTAGAATTTAGGTGATATTGGCATTTTAACATTTTTAGGAAACAACTTTAAAATGACATAACATCTGTATCATCTTAAATTTAATGAAATTAACATGGCAGTAGGTCTTTAAGTTTCTGCTTACATCTATATTGAGTATTGTTGTCTTCTAAAATAATTGATTTTTGGTTAGGTAACCAGAAAAAAAAAAGTGTCCTTCCTACACTAGAAGGTTTTAACATTATTATCCCTAAGATGGAAAACTGAAGTTGAAGGAAATCTATACAAACAATTTAATTCTCAGGCTAAGCCATGAAAAAAGAAAACCTAAGAGGGTAGAGATGAAATTTTGTCTCCTCTATAGTTTCTTATTACTGACAGACCAGAGATATTTGTAATCGTTACAAACATGTTCTGGGGCGCAGTGACAAATTGTACTATAAGCAAGCACATTTTTCTAAAAGTAATGATTCACAGATTTGCCGAGGTACAGATGAGTGATGTGACAGTTCACAATTGCTTGCTTCCTAGTGTTGATAGGCAATTAAGATCACTAAGGATTAAGAATTCTAGATCGAATGGTTGTAGATATGTTGTGTTGCCTCTGAGGCCTCTGTTCTGTTCCATTGGTCTATATCTCTGTTTTGGTACCAGTACCATGCTGTTTTGATTACTGTAGCCTTATAGTATAGTTTGAAGTCCAGTAGTGTGATGCCTCCTGCTTTGTTCTTTTTACTTAGAATTAACTTGACTACGCAGGCTCTCTTTTGGTTCCATATGAAGTTTAAGGTGTTTTTTTCCAGTTCTGTGAAGAAGGTCATTGGTAGCTTGATAGGGATAACGTTGAATCTGTAAATTACTTTGGGCAGTATGGCCATTTTCACGATATTGATTCTTCCTAACCATGACCCTGTTTAATAAATGGTGTTGGGAAAACTGGCTAGCCATGTGCAGAAAGCAGAAACTGGACCCCTTCCTGACACCTTACACTAAAATTAACTCCAGATGGATTAAAGACTTAAACATAAGACCTAACACCATAAAAACCCTAGAAGAAAATCTAGGTAAAACCATTCAGGACATAGGTGTAGGCAAGGACTTCTTGACCAAAACACCAAAAGCATTGGCAAAAAAAGCCAAAATAGACAACTGGAACCTAATCAAATTCCACAGCTTCTGCACAGCAAAAGAAACAGTCAATAGAGTGAATCGGCAACCAACAGAATGGGAAAAAATTTTTGCAGTTTACCCATCTGACAAAGGGCTGATATCCAGAATTTACAAAGAACTAAAACAGATTTATAAGAAAAAAACAAACAAGCCCATTCAAAAGTGGGCAAAGGATATGAACAGACACTTTACAAAAGAAGACATACAGGAGGCCAACAAACATATGTAAAATTCTCATCATCACTGGTCATCAGAGAAATGCAAATGAAAACTACACTGAGATACCATCTCACGACAGTTAGAATGGCGAAAAAATCTGGAGATAACAGATGCTGGAGAGGATGTGGAGAAATAGGAACACTTTTACACTGTTGGTGGGAGTGTAAATTAGTTCAACCATTGTGGAAGACAGTGTGGCGGTTCCTCAAGGACCTAGAAATAGAAATTCCATTTGACCCAGCAATCCCATTACTGTGTATATATCCAAAGGATTATAAATCATTCTACTATAAGGACACATGCACACAAATGTTCATTGCAGCACTGTTCACAATAGCAAAGACCTGGAACCAACCCAAATGCCCATCGATGATAGACTAGACAGGGAAAATGTGGTAATGTGGTACATATACACCATGGAATACTATGTAGCCATCAAAAACAATGAGTTTATGTCCTTTGTAGGGACATGGATGAACCTGGAAACTCATTCTCAGCAAACTGACACAAGAGCAGAAAATCAAACACCGCATGTTCTCACTCACAGGTGGGTGTTAAACAATGAGAACACATGGACACAGGGAGGGGAGCATCACACATTGGGGTCCATTGGGGGGAAATGGGGGAGGGACGGGGGTGTGGGGAGGTGGGGAGAGACAGCATGTGGAGAAATGCCAGATATAGGTGAAGGCGAGGAAGGCAGCAAATCATACTGCCATGTGTGTACCTATGCAACAATCTTGCATGTTCTTCACATGTACCCCAAAACCTAAAATGCAATAAAAATATAAATAAAAAATAATAATAAAAAAAGAAAATCTCAAAAGGATATCTCTCCTTATAGAAAGAGACATATTAAACTAATTGAACTGATCTGATATATTAAATGACATGGGAAGCATTATCAAATAATATTAAATTTTTTGGAATTATATTTATATGAATGTGTTATTAATATGTATTTCAGAAATTGTGTAGAATTCATAGAAATCTAATAGTCCTGCTATAAAGCTATCAGTCATAATTCTAGTTACTGTCTTAAAATATTGACTACAATAGAAGTAACTGAGTTTTCTTGTCAATTGTGTCACTATCATAATGAACTCTTACCGGAACTTTAAAGTCATGGCCATTTTAAGACTTGTCATTCACAGATAATTAATTGTTTACTCTTATACTTTCCTGAGAAACCATAAGCCTAAACTGTTCGTCTTCAAGGAGATCCATGGAAAAAACTCTGAGAAGTACAGGTTTCTGCTAACTTTAAAATCACACCATTGGATTGGGTAAGAATTCCCAGGACTCTAATGAAGAAATTGACTGATTCATAAAACTGCTAACCTAATGTCATGCAGAACAAGAAATAATAACAAGGAGATTACCTGGGCAGAATTTCATGCTGATTAAGCCAATACTAAAATTATTAAGATATACAATTTGAATTAACTCTATAATATTGATCTAAGTCAAATTACATTTGATAAACCATATTCAATAAACAGTGCTATAAGCACCTGAACTGGAGAGACAAAGTTGGTATTTAAAGAATGTAAATCCAGTGTTAAGTCTGGATTCAGGAAGAACTTGGACGGCTGCTTGGTTCTTCTGGAGTCTTAAATCTTCCAATATTAAAAGCTCTGCACTCCATGATTCATTATGGAGGAGATAAAATGATTCAAATTATGAAAAAAAGATTGGTGGAGTGACTGTTATAAAATTGCTAAAACAGTTAATGCTTGGTTTGTCTAACCCATAATTGTGGTTAAGATAATAAAAACTTCAGATGATACAGTTCCTGAACACTTACAAATGGCTTTCATTCAATTTCTACTTTAAATGCACGTTTTCTGGTTATATAGAAGAGTTCCAATGCAGGAGGGCCAATGTTAAAAGGTTATTGGAAAATGTGTTTTCCTTATGGAGCACTGTCGGAGAAATTTCCAGCAACAGAGGTACTTATTTCACTGGACAAGCTGTCAAACAGTTAAATAGGTATTATAAATACAACAGCATAGGAAAAGCTAATTGAATTGTTTAGGTTGCCTTGGTCAAAGTTTGGTTGAGGGCAATAAGATCATTCCCACTGGAAAACATTAATTGACCCCTTATAAAATAGTTACTGGAAGGCTTATACCCCTAATAATAAAGTCTCATGCATCTTCCAGTCTTATCAACCCAGACATGACTCAATAGTGCAAGGCTTGAATGCATTCTGCCAAAGCATATTTTTACCAGGTGAAAAAAGTCCTTCATGTCCATCAACTGATGACAAACAAATGTTTCATAATACAGAAACTGGAGATGGGGTCTTTTGGAAATACCACCACAGAAGTCACATTACTTGAACTTGGTTGAAAGGGACCACACCAAGTTCTTTTCTGCAGCAAACTTCAAGGCCTTGAATCTTGGATCTGCATTTCTCAACACAAAAGAGCTCCTGTAGACTTCTGGAACTGTACACCTGTTGGAGAACTTGAAATAAAGCTGATTGGGCTGGGTGTGGTGGCTCACACCTGTAACCTCAGCACTTTGGAAGGCCGACGTGGGTGGATCACAAAGTCAAGAGATCGAGACCATCTGGCCTACAAGGTAAAACCCCATCTCTACTAAACATAAGAAAATTAGCTGGGTGTGGTAGCATGCACCTGTAGTCTCAGCTACTCAGGAGGCTGAGGCAGGAGAAATGCTTGAACCTGGGAGGTGTTGGTTGCAGTGAGCTGAGATCATACCACTGCACTCCTGCCTGGGGGAAAAAAAAAAAAAGAAAGATAGAAAGAAAGCTGATCAGGGAAGTTTTTCCCTAGAGGCAGATGGCATCCTATATGTAGACAGCCTTCGTAATATTGCAGATCAAGAGTTCTTTGCTATCAGGAAAGCCTTATCTTTTTTTCCTTTTTTCTCTATTTCCTGCAATACTAATTCCTTCCTTTCTTTAGGAAAACCCTAAATAATGCTAAACCTTTTTTGAATTATATATGTATAGATATGTTATTAATATGTATTTCAGAAGTTGTAAGAAATTAACAGAAATCTAACAGTCCTGGTATAATGTTATTAATCGTATTTCTAGTTGTTATCTCAAAATGTTGTATGCAACAGAAATAACTGAATTTCCTCGTCAACTTGGGATGACACTCTGTGGATGGCTTTGGCAAAGTCTCATGGTCTCTAAGAAACCAGAGTAACTGTTGGGTTTATGAGTGAATGCCCCAAAATCTGGAAACAATTTCACTTAATGCTAATGCCTCTCTGTGTTCCTGAGACTCACCCTGCAACCCCAAAGAAAGAGAGGAAAGTTATCCTTGATATGCTACACATCACTGCTACTTGCTTTCCTATACTTGCTGAAAGTAGTATCTTGATCTTACCAGTTAATAACTGAACTATTACCAAATATAGAAAATCTGGACAGAAGGGATTGGTCAATGGGTTAGGAAGAATAAAAGCTGGTATTCTATTACACCATAGAATGACTACAGCTAATAATAATGTATTGTATATTTCAAGATAGCTAGAAGAGATGATTTGAATGATATCTTCAAAAATAAATGATGTTTAAAGTGATAGACATATTATTTATAACTACTTTGATTTGATCACTGTTCAACATATACATGCATTGAGACATAACACTGTACTCCATAAATATGTGCAATTATTATCTGCCAATTGTAAATAAAAGTAAAAAAAAAAAAAACTATCATAGTGAAGCCTGCCAAAGGTATCTATCTTGTGCTTCCAAGCATTGCACACTCAAGATGTTGCAGACTACCTATGTGGGTATGAATAATTGCTTATATGATGTCTCTGGATTAAATCCAGCAAAATCTTTCTACTAGATGTGGTTTGCATCCTTACAACATGCTATACAGGGACCAGAGGAGTAAGTTTACCACTGGATTTTGTCTTATGGGTGGACCTATTTAACTGACCTCTGCTCAAACACCACTAGGTGGCCCTCTTTTCAAGCCCCCAAGGGCCCATTTTGGGTCAGTGGATAAGGGGTCCATATTGGGTCAGTGGATAATCTGCTCAATCTGCTGTTTCCTCACTGGTTCAGATCTTGCTATTTGGCCAGGCTTGCTCCTACATCAGAATAGCTTTCCCTTAAAGTTCCCAAATACCTTCCATAATCAGAGGTTAAAGCAGTCAATAATCAAAGTTAGTACCAATTTAAAAATAGATGAAGATAAGTAGTTTCTACTGAGGAAAGGTTCCAATGGAGTTGCTGTAACTCACTCTTAGCATTAGCAGGGTGCCTGTTGTATGGAATTTGAAACTAATCTGTAAATCGGAGAAAATCTTTAATTGTAGCAAGTCAGACCTCCCAGAGGTTCAGAGGGTAGAAGCTACTCAAATGTTCTCAGTGGATGAAAACATTTGTGTTCAACAAACTTACCTCATGGAACATTGCACAGCTTTGGATCTCTTCATTTAACAAACACACCTCATGGAACATTCACAGCTTTGGATCTCCTCATTTAGCAAACACACTTCATGGAACATTACACAGCTTTGGATCCCCCTTTGCTTGTGCTGGTGGCTTTTGTATGATGCTGAATAAAACTGGATGTTGCACTTATTTTTCCTGCCACAGAAAACTTAATTTAAAAGGTGGCAGACACTGCTGTTTCACTAGACACTGCCACTGAATATTTTAAGGAAATTTATCAGGGGGAAAGGAACACATGATACATTTATGGGGGCGGCTAATAGTTGTTTTGCAGACATCCTTAGTAGGAAATGGCAAGCTAGGCTATTTCAGACTTTTCTAATTTTTATGTTTCTTTAGCGAATCTCCAGGTTATTATAACTTGTCTTACCAGGCTAACTACAAAAATGGATACCTCTTTAAATAAGGCCATAAGGCCAAATCAGATCATTCAGCGAACTATGGTCCTCAATTGCCATAATGCCCTAAATTAGACTATGACCAACGGGAGTCAAATACTTTGAACTATCTTTATTGCCTGAACTTCGAATTGCTTGATTTTTATCAGTTCAGCTTGTAGAGTCTCCTGCTAAGGCACGCACCTCAGTTTACTGCTGTTCTCTCCTGCCCATAACAGTTTCCCTCATGTGGTGTTTCCCCTCCAGAGTCTTAAATGTCTCTATGCGGCCATCCTTTGTATACCAAATGTTGTTATTACAGTTAGAATAACAACATGAGGAAAGTATAATAACTCAACTAATTTCACATCGTGACTTCCAAACTGAGACAAAACAACGTTCTGGTCAATCTCTTTAAAACTGAGAGGCTGATCCAAAGGAGGAAACTGTTATTAAAATAAATGTGGCCTAAAGTTGCCTTCCTACCTAGCAAAGTATAATCAAACTTAATATGTAAATAAACTGCAATGTAACTTGAGAGTATGTTCTTCTTACAAGTAGCCAAGTCTTGGCCAATCACAGCAGCAGAGCTTTTAGCCCATTACAGGCTGCGAATACTGTCAGTAAACACTGCTTGCCCACTGTTACTGGCTGGAGCTCTCTGAACCTTTTACTGGTTTAGGGTACTATCTGATTCACGGTTTCTTTGCTCAGATAAACTCTGCCAAACTTAATTTGTTTAAGGTTTTTGTTAACACTATTTAAACATAAAGCAAAGAAATTAATAAAAATCCTATGTCACTAAGGTAACAGTAATGAGAAAGTATTTACCTGAGTGAGAAGACTGACCAAGTTGCAATCAAGTCCTCCATCAGTTGACATTTCTTTCCTATGCGTTTCTCATAGTATTGGTCATTCCACAAAGGTTGCTCTATGATGCTAAATCGTCCACACGTTCGCTGCACTGACAGACCTCCAATTTCAAGATGGGTAACTAAAGGTCAACTCTTCCTTTACCCTCCCTGAGCCTGATTTTTTGCACTGGAACTCATGGGTCGCTAGACATTGGTTTTTGGTGTTTGCAGTCTAAATTTCTTTCCCTTTTAGGGTAAACAATCACTGTCCACGGGATTTAAATAATCCCGAATTGGTTATTTGTTAACATCAACCAGGGGTGCACATTTTGAGCAGCACCTATTTCTTTAGAGACTAGATATGCACACGCATCAAAGGACAGCATTTACAAAGTCAACACCACTCACTTCATTTAAGAACGGGCCAGTGGCTTTTCAGAAGGGTTTGCTCTCGGCCCCACACCAGAACGCCAGCCGCCAAGTCCCGCTGCTCAGTAGGTCCCAAGCTCGTGCCCACCCAGGGTTGCGGCGGCAGACAGCGGCGAGCCCGCGCACTCTTACCCGCGCGGCGCCGGGACGTTAGAAAGCGGTCCCGGGCGACCCAGGCCAATGGGCGGAGCGGGCCTCGAGGCCCCGCCCCGCCCCTAGTGACGTCACGGCGACGCCCGGGGCGCGCGGGCGGCGGGGCAGCTAGAGTCCCCGCCCCCAGAGGCTGACGGTCTTTAGCTGCCCGCCGGGCGCGCTTTCCGCTCCCGCGTCCTGTCGCTGTCGCCGCTGCTGCCGCACCATGGCCTTCGTCACGAGGCAGTTCGTACGTTCCGTGTCCTCCTCGTCCACCGCCTCGGCCTCAGTCAAGAAGATCATCGTCAAGCATGTGACGGTCATCGGCGGCGGGCTGATGGGCTCCGGCATCGCCCAGGTGAGCGGCCCTCCCTGCCGCGTGCCCACGCGCTTGGCCGCCCAGCCCGAGGTGGAGGCTCCGGGGGGGCTGGCCGCGAGGGGCCTGCGACCCCCGGGAGTTTTCACACCGTGCCTGCCTCCCCGATGTAGTTGAAATACAACGCGTCTGGGCCTGTGAGGGCGCAAGTCTCACTCCCCTCAAAATTGAGGGTTCCGGGCCAATCCTGAGTTAACTCGTTTGGAAAATTCTGGCCGCCCTCAAGGCTCGATGAAGGTTCGGTGGAGAGGGGCGGTGAATGTATTTGGAACCGGGCCGTGCGAGAGAAGAAAGAATTACATGTGCACAAAGTTCAGGCATAACGCGTTTGCCGCTGCTCGGCTCCAACGGGAGTTTGCTGCCAGATACATGAACTGTGATCAGTTTAATTTTATTTTTTCAGTTTTTAAAACTTTTATTTTGTAATCGTGTAGTCTGTCAAAGTAGTTTTCTCTCCCAAACGGCTCTCCCCGGTGTTTCCTTCGCTTGTCGAGTTGTAAAGAATAATAATAGACATGACTTTTGCAGCACTTTGTAAAGTCACCTAAGGAAGCTTGCTGAAGTCTTGGTTTTGACCTTTGACATAATGTTGTCTGTGCAGAGTTCTGAGCTTGCGATTTTGGCGCTGAGGACAGTGGGAGGGTCGGATAAAGCTGCGGAACTAGGCGCTCTCTCTCTCTCTCTCTCTTTTTTTTTTTTGAGACGGAGTTTTGCTTTTGTTGCCCACGCTGAAGTGCAAGTGGCGCGATCTCGGCCCACTGCAACCACCGCCTCCCAGGGTTCAAGTGATTCTGTCTCAGCCTCCCAAGTAGCTGGGATTATAGGTCCCCACCACCACGCCCGGCTAATTTTGTATTTTTAGTAGAGACAGGGCTTCACCTATTTGGGTCAGGCTGGTCTCGAACTCCTGACCTCAGGTGATCTGCCCGCCTGGCCTCCCAAAGTGCTGAGATTACAGGTGTGAGCCACCGCGTCCAGCCGGAACAAGCCTCTTATCCATTGTGCATCTTCAGGACTTTTCCACTGCTCTGCTGGGCTGTGATTCAGGCCCAGTTGTGCGCGTGATTGATTACCTGGGTACTATAATGGTTGTAATTAAAAAAAAAAAAATTATTCCATTTCAGCTCACATTGGAGAACCATGGTTTTCATTTCCTAGCTGATTATATTAGCATTTCACTCCTTTGCAATTTGTTTTGTTGTGGAAGGCAGTTATAGTCATCTAATTTTTCTTAGGGACAGTACTACAGTGGCTACAGTCATGAGAGAGTTTGCTTTTCAATATTGTTCCCAACCAAGTCTACTCTTTCATGCTTGCTTTTTAAAAACAGAAACAAAAAAAACCCTTTGCTGTTAGGTATTATATATCTCAATTTTCTCCTCCTTGCAAGTTTTTTTGCAACATTTTTATTTGATTGCATTGTCTTCTAAAATCTATATTCCTGTAATGTTTTATTTATCATTGCCTCTGGCTACTAGATTATAGTATCTCCATAATCTATGTTGTAGGTGGGCTGGGAGGAGTAACTCCCTTTAACCTAAAAGTTCCAGGCTTTGTACTCAAAAGAAAGTTTACCTTGAGTATATTTGTATTCCCAGGCTCCACCAAAATCTCCCAAATCTGTGGGAGTGAGATTTCTTGTGGGCAGAAATAGAACAATGTGTTTGTTTAAAAACATTTTAACAACATCTTAGTAACAAGACATTAGGGCCTTAAGCAGCCCAGTAACATTATAGGAAATGGGTCCAGAAACTTGTGGCTGGTGTCCTTGAAGACAGCAGCAGTGGAAAAGGATTAGATACTAAGTAGAAAGTATCACTTCAACTTTTGTAGAAAATTGGGGTGCTCAGTTTGTGGAATGCTACATCCATTATTGGCCAAAAAAGGACGTTGTGTTCCGTTAAAAGGCAGAGGGGCAACACCTACAATTATGGGTACAGTGTTGGAGCTTTCACCTGCTAAAGGAGGGAGGAGAAATGGTTGACATTAATGGCTTGTGCTTGTCAATCAAACCCTTGAGTAGTTGGACCAGAAGTGCCTTTTGAAACTTAAGGGAAAAAAAGCTGTTTATGCCATAGGCTGGACACAGAATAGAAATGTCATTCTGAAAGCTTATAGAGACCAGAAGTCTGTAAAGTGGATGACCATAAGAAACAGTAGGTTCATCCTTATGTCACACAGTTTGGAAGAACCTCAGTTACTTTAGTTGACAGCTCTAAATCCTGTGAAAGGAAACCATCTTTCCTGTAAAACGTTTGTGAGCAATGTTTTTTTCCAGTGGTTTAGGTCAGGCGTCCCCAAACTATGGCCCGCGGGCCGCATGCGGCCCCCTGAGGCCATTTATCCGGCTCCCCCACCGCACTTCGTTAAGGGGCACCTCTTTCATTGGTGGTCGGTGAGAGAGCACAGTATGTGGCAGCCCTCCAAAGGTCTGAGGGACAGTGAACTAGCCCCCTGTGTAAAAAGTTTGGGGACGCCTGGTTTAGGTGATCTGGTTTTGCACTCTACCCAGTAGCATGCAGTTCTAGGCAGTATTGCTTCATTCTTTATGCTCCTTGACCAACAGCTTTTGGCATAGGGTAAATCTGTTCTGCTTATTGAGTGCCAGAGACTAATTAGGTGATGTGTTTTGAGTACAGATGGGCTACAGTTCAGTATAGGAAGTTGGATGGTCTGCATGCTGGCTCTGCCTCATGCTGTGTTAACATAGAAAAGTTACTTTACCTCTGTGTCTTGGTTTTCTTATTTCTAAAGTAGGACTAATACTAGTACTGGCCCTGTAGGGAGAGAATTGAATGAATTAGCATATGTCAAGCACTTACACAGTGTCTGGCACATAATAACAGTTCACAGAAAGTTAACTGTCTTTATAATAATTATCTTTGGCCTTGAGTGGTGGCTCATGTCTGTAATCCCAGCATTTTGGGAGGCTGAGGCAGGCAGATCATGAGGTCAGGAGTTAGAGACCACCCTGGCCAATATGGTGAAACCTTGTCTCTTTTAAAAATGCAAAAAAATTATCCAGGCATCATGGCACGTGCCTGTGGTCGCAGCTACTCAGGAGGCTGAGGCAGAAGAATCACTTGAACCCAGGAGACAGAGGTAGCAGTGAGCCAAGAATGCACCGCCGCACTCCAGCCTGGTGACAGAGCAAGACCGTCTCAAAAAAATAAAAATAAAAAATAATAATTATTATCTTCATTGTGATTGTCCTTGTCCTTTTGCTCCTTTCCCCTCATATCCACTCCCATCCTGATAATAGCTGCTGAGGTAGGCCTGTAATGTTTAGATGGAGCATGTTGGTCATGATTCCCTGTTCAATCTTGCCTAATCTTGAATGCACATACCAGCTGATGCTGCAATTTGTTCTTTCAGGGGCCTCTGAAAAGAGGGGGAATAGTTTTTACCTACTCCCCATTTTATTGTTAAACCTTAGTAAAGCCATAAAAATATAATCAAGAACTAGTATCGAGGTTATGCTACTAATTTGCATTAGCTTAATTTTCTTGAACTTTCTCATGTAGTTTTAAATGTTAGTCAAGGTGCAGTTCTGCTTATAATTTTAATAGTTTTATTTGTCATTTTAAACACGTGTTCCAGTTTGTGCTGAGCAAGATGAAAAAATACTTATAATTTTGTGGGAGCCTGATGCATTTCTCAAGCAATTAAGCAATGTAAGACAGGTAAGTTCAATGCTTAATTACATTTGATCAGAGCACAGGCCATTTGTACATGTGTATTTTCCGACAGTATCTACTTTGCCTGTCATTTCTTTTGTTTGTTTAAAATTTTTTTAAAAAATCCCTTAGACTGCAGATTAATATTTAAAGTTAACTTGTTTCATGTGTTTGCTTATTGTACACTTCTGACTTGGTTTTGATTGCTAATTTATTTTCACTGGATACTTAGGTCAGCAAAGAAGCTTATAGGATTAAATAAGCCTTGAGTGGGGGACAAGTTGTTTTTTTGCTTTATAAAGGTGGAAAAAAAGAAAAGAAGAAAGCTAGTAGCTGTGTGCATTTTTCCAGTAATGAATCCTTTCTAAGCTTTACTTCATACATTGCCTTTTTTCATATGAGGAGCCCAGAGAGAATGCATAGCTTTCATTAGATTACTTGTAGTAGCCAGTGGGCTCCCTGGGAACAAGGCACTTCAGATGTTCCACTTCAGATACTTCACCTTCTCTCCGGTACACTTTAGTGCACTACACTCCTTAGAGGAAGTGACAAAATTTGGATCTTAAAGGGGGTTGGGAGTAGGTTATTCTCTCTAAAAGCTTGCTTTTTTTTCTCTCTCCTTTTTTTTTTGACAGTCTTATTCTGTGACCCAGGCGGGAGAACAGAGATGTGATCTCAGCTCTCTGCAACATCTGCCTCCTGGGTTCAAGCGATTCTCCTGCTTTAGCCTCCTGAATAGCTGGTATTACAGGTGTATGCCACCACACCCAGCTAATTTTTGAATTTTTAGTAGAGACAGGGTTTCTCCATGTTGGCCAGGCTGGTCTCAAAATCCTGACCTCAGGTGATCCGCCCACCTTTGCCTCTGGAAGTGCTGGGTTTTCTCCCTTTTAAAAAGCAAAAGGTGCATATTTTTTCTAGAGAGAGAGGTTCTTTGGCTATTAAAAACAAAGTAAGAGCAGGGAGAGCCTGCTAAGCTGTAGCCATTTTGTGTTGCTCTGCCATGCTTGATAAGAATTCAGGTAGACCTGAAAGCTTCTCCCTGACCACTAGATTTGTTCTCTCATGTCTTCTACTTGCCCCAAACTCTGCATTTTCATTT